CACACACACACACACACACACACACACACACACACACACACACACACCTGTCTGTCCGTTTCTCGTCCAACCTCGTCAGCTTTGCTCAGGTAAAAGCGCAGTTTGTCTCCACACTTCTCACTCAACTTCTCAACAATGTTCAATGTACGCTTGCACAATGCCTGTCCCATCGGGTCAAAAAACACAAAGATGAGGTCCGCCTGCTCACCTGAAAATACACAGATATGTAAAATGTGAAGAAAAGTGTTACTCTAACCTTTGTGCGGTTTAATTTAGGACAAAAATCTAAAACCTTATAACTGGTACTTGTCCATTTTGTTTAGAAAGATAATTTTAATTGGATTGAAAAACACAATTGTTGTTCCTGTGTTGACATTGAAACAGGAAGTTGGGTTGGGCATACTGAAGAGCTTGTCTTTTTCTAAAATAGAAAATAGCCTTTAATTTAGCGAGATTAGCTACTTGTTACAAAATGAGTCATCAATATTTTTTTGGTCCATTGTCTCTGACAAGAAAGACTGTACATTTTAAATTCTCCTGATCATTTTAAATGGTCTTAACAACTTTCTAGAACATTTTATTTAAAATTATTAAATGTGTATATCCAGTATTATTTTTGTCAGTGTTGATGTAGTATTATTTATATACTATTATAGCATTTATTAATATTTTGAACTAGCTTTTATTTTTATATTTTCAGTTTCTATTTTAATTTTAGTAATTTTATTATGTGCTTTTGTCATCTTTATTCTTTTTTTTTATATTTATATTTAGCTTTACTTTAATTGTATGAAAGTTGTATTATTTTAAGTACTTAAACATTTCATTTCTGCTAGTTCATCTAACATTTTGATTTTATATATTTATATCAGATTTATTTCATTAATGAAAACAAATTTGTAATAATTTTAGTTAGCAATATCTACACTGGTACACACAGTTAACATGCAGTACACTAACTAAAACACAAAAAACTTTCAGAAAAATTTGCCTTAGAGAAAATGGTTTGTTAAAAGAGTGAAACAACCCAGAAAAATATTTTTTAAATCAGTTTCAGATGATAGATCCATTTCAGGTTTTGTGGTGTATTCAAGTCAAGATTAACATATGTAACATATTTACAAGTTAAACGCACATGAACACCAACACAAAGCTGTAATTAAGAGTAGGAAACTTTGAACTTTCTTTAAGCCACGAGTTTCTGAGTTGGCGGTGTGTCAGTGAGAAAACATCATACGCAATGGATGCAGCATCTGTATTGTAGGTGAATTAATGAAAATTATTATAATTTGTCAAATACAATAAAACTAAGTTGCGCTAAAAAAAAGACAGTATTGTACAATTACTATAGAATATATAACGATTCAATGTACAGCACCTCCATAAAGTGAATAAAAACAAAGCAAAAACACACAGATTTACATTCTTTGCTTATCATTTTGTAGAAGTAGAGTTTAAAAATTGTGATGAATTTTTTTGTAGAAAAGGTGCATAGCCATCTTGCTCCAACCAAAGTGACTTGAACACACCTGATGTAGTCATTACAGCTTGCCAACTCTTAAATGTGAACTTGAATTGACTTGAAAGCACCATTGGAGTCTCTTACAAATAAGCTGATGACCTGAATCAGATGTTTGATTAGGAAAACATGCAAAATGTGGGGTGGGGCTTCAGGAACAGCTATAGAAGCTAAAACAGTACAAAATGAAGAGACGCAGCCTTACCAAAAGAGGTGATGGCACTGTTGACATCGAAAGGGCACACCATATCTCCGTCCACCAAACCTGGAGTGTCCACAAACGTCACCAGGCTGAACTTCTTCTGTTTGGAGGTGGAAATCTCAGCGCTCAGGTAATCCGTGACACCTACAATATACAAATCCAGGCATTTATAAAACTGCGCTGGTATTAGAAACACAACCCTAAGTGCAGATTCATCATTATAACAACAATCTGATGTTTCAAAAGTATAATTCTAGGGGAAAAAAACCCATCTGATTAATAAAACATGTTCATGAATTCTGATTGACTCGTACAGTTTTCTAGACCACGCCCCCTCTGGTGGTCTGTTGTTATGGTTACCCACAACAGCTCTTCAACTGGCAGCTTTAAGGTGGAGCCACATAAAGCTAGCCAGTGAAGAACGACTGTGAAGCAACGCCAGCCAGCCAATATTCACACGCTAAGAGTTTTGAAAGCATATAAATAAAATAAAACTACATTTTCTAAAGATTGCGATTGGTGCTTCTGTCATCGCCACAATGCCTGCTTTATGGTTGCTTACATGTTCACAATGATTTTAGCACGCTGATGTGCAATTGCTCATTTTTTTTGGGGTGGTTTCTTAGTCAAATATTGTTTTTATCATTTATCGCCAGGTGAAAATCACAAGTTAGATCGTTTAGAAAAGTAACATCACACCTTGAATCTGCATAGTAACTATATGTCAGGTCTCATCAAATGATTGTGCTACCTTCACAACACATCTGCGGTTCACACTGAAGCTCTTTCAGATAGTGGCTGCAGTTGTGCAAGATCTCGCACAAACCCGTCTTGTTCTGTCTCATCAACATTCAACAAAGGTGCACCAACACACCCTCAAATCTGTCTGTCCATCTCTCTCCGTCTCTTAACTGCTCTCTCTTTCTCATTTCAGAAAATCCTCAGATTTTGAACATTATTGTTCAGAGGTTTCATCGAGAAAGATTTTATATTTCTCCTAAAATTACTTTGGAGCTATAAAATAAACATGGATGATCAAATGTATTATTTTTGTTTCCTATGAGTACATAAGATCACCATCATATACACTACCAATCAAGAATTTGAATAAATATTTAAATAAATATATTGTAAATTTTATGTAATTATGTAAATATTTTTGAAAGTGTCTTATGCACACTAAGGCTGCATTTGCTTGATTAAAAATACAGTAATATTGTAAAATATTATTACAATTTAAAATAACTGTACAGCGGAATACATTCATAATAAAATGGAAATTAAGTGGCATAATTTCTGACCTAACATTAAGCTCTTGTTTTTGTTAGATGGGTGTAACTAATCGTGGTAAAATTTAAAATATAAGAAATGAGGTATTTGAAATTATAACACTGGAACGAAACGGAACTAATGTGAAATTCACATGTCCAAGTTGACAGTTTAATGTATTAATCTCCATTAACTTCTTCATTTTCTTTGTAATTTTAAATGTTTAATTTTGCAATCAGTGCGTTGGCACAATAAAGCACTGATTTTTATAGCTCTTTTTTTATTCCTTGATTTCTCCACTCTACAATGCTGCTGGTTGTATAAATAAGTATTTTTGCTTTTTTTCCATGCACCTTTTTATTTTTTATTTTTTATTATTTTTTTTATTATGATTAATCGATGTTGAAAACAGATGTGTTCTTTAATATTTTTGTGGAAACTGATACATTTTTTTTTCAGATGAATTGAATTGAAGGTTCAAAAGAACAGCATTTCTGTAACATTACATGTCTTTTCTGCCTTCATTGTGATCAATTTAATTCATCCTTGCTGAATAAATGTATATAAAAAAAATCGAAATAAAAAAAAAGCTTGCTGACCTCAAACTTTTGAACAGTAGCATATCCATGTAGTTATTTAATTCCACAGGTGCTATGTAATTAAAATCAGATGTAGTCATGTGCATGTGATATAGGCTCAATAACCAGGGATTATTAAGGGATCTTTGAGTCTTTTTAAAAGTGAAAAGGTAACTGGAGAAACGCGTCTCACTTTGCTGCTGAAAGGTGGAAGGAGATACTGAGGGATCTAGTCCACTGAGGAAAAGTCAAAGGTCAAGAAAGTGCTGCGTCATCTCCAAACCGCACAGCAGCACCACTGTGGAGAGACCCAAGTCATGATGATAGTGTCAAAGTTATTGAGATAAGACAAACCAGCCAAAACCACACCCAAACAATGCACCAATCGCAAATCTCATTATTCTTTCCTACACAAACCCACATCCTGAAGACCAACACAGACGTTTAAAACCTTCAATGAGACACATTATAGACATTCCCAGGAACATAGAAGACAACTGCAATACGTTCATGCTCATAAATTTGAGTAAACAAAGTAGAATGAAATTCATACAATTCAGAAAATGATGGTTTATACTTACAATAAAAAAAGATGCATGCATGTTTTACTGTTTAAATAGTATGTTTTAAGAATGCATGTCATGATTTTGTCAGGTTTTGACTCTGACTTGAAGCTCGTAATATGCAATGGCTATACAAACTGCTATTTTTATTGTTCATTTCATATTTGTTCCTGTTGTTGACTATCAATTGTATGTTCTCTGTAGCAGTAATGTGAGAAGACATCTACCCCACTGATGCTGCACTGTTGTCAGTGTGAATGACTCATTCTGGTTCTCTGCACCAGGTGAACCCACACTGCCCACTGAAGGAATACTGCGCGATCAGTGTGCGGTAATGATGCCCTCTGACACACCCAAAGACCACTCACCTACACCAACGAAGACCCATCACTCCGATACAGTCTAGCTGTGACACCAGCTGGACTCTCGTTTTAACAGTTACATAAATACACAGCGAAAAGTGTTAAGTCAGCAGAGCCAGAAGGAGTTTATTGAGGTGCATGTGAATGAGATGTGTTGTTATGTTTCACGCACTCAGGCGGATACTGCGCTGGCTGTATATACGCTTGCATGACTCAGTGTGAGGTGTTAGTCGTAGCTATAGATGCTACTGCCTCGTCTACACATTTCCCTCAAACCAAGTCTAATTTCTAAGTAATAAATGAGAAAAATAGCACTAAAAACTAGTTTGGCTGTTTAATATCATGCATAATAGTCAATAGAAAATTCCCTTTTTTATTGTGCTACCATGTGACACTAATCAACAACGCCTAGAAGTCGTCATTTACTCTCAGTCGATATGCATGGCACAGAAGAAATATTCATATCTGATAGGCAAACATGAATAGTTCATAAATGCACAGAAAAAAGGTGTGCAAAACTACAAAAATTAATTGCAATGAAAAAATGAAAAGTTAAATAATAAAAGGGTAATTCAAAAAAAAAAAAAAAAAAAATCAAAGGTTCTGAAATATCTGAATCATATTCATAATATATATAATATAGCACACTAACATATTTAAAAGGGACTGAGACATTAATAAATAGAACCGATTCTACGTTCTAACATATATTAATCTATTATATATATATATATATATATATATTCTTTTGACAGCATACTAAAAGTTACATATCAATCTTCTATTAAAATTTCCTACCTTTGAACTCCAGCAGAGGTCTGAAATGCGGGTAAAGATGTAATGTTGCATTTCCCTGTGAGGAAAAGAAGCAAACATGTTGATTAAGGAAAGATCAGACACATTTAAAGAGGAGAATGTGGTGTGAAGTCAGAAGCCAGGCCCCGCTGTAGGGAGGCTCCCTGCTCTTCCTCTCTCCTCTCTCTTTCTCTCTGCAGGCTGGGTGATGGTGTGACACTCTCAGCCACGCTGCAGCTCTCTTCCTGTTCTGCTGGAAGGCTCTTCCTGTAAAGAGCTGATAATCCTTTCATATCACTCCTTCACTGTAATTGCATTACTCACATTGAGGTCTTCACGAGACAGTGAAGGAAAGAGAGAGAGGGAGAGCCCTATATGTTAAGGAAAAAAGATGCTGTGTCTTTAAGAAAACCCCTTTGCTTCCAGAAGGAGCGACTGACTAAGCTGTGATATGGTCTGCTCTTTCGCCACATGCACGCATGTACAATTTTGCTTTTTTTGTCGTTTTGTCCAGGTTGTCTTTTGGCCAAAGCATTTCCTCTTAAATACTTTTGCATCCCTTTTTGCATTCTGCATGTAGACATAGCTCAGATAATTTGGCTTTTAAAAAGAACTTAATGATAAATGCTTAAATTCATGTTGAAATCTTTGGCTTTTTGATATTTCCAGACCTTTTAAAACTTTTTATGGAAGAATCTCGTATGCTCACCAAGTCTGCATTTATTTAATCAAAAATTCGGTAATAAAAAAAGTAATATTGTGAAATATTATTATTTAAAATAACTGTTTTCTATTGGAATATATTTTAAAATGTGGTGCTACATAATATTTTTATGGAAACTATGATGGACTTTGTTTTTCATAATTCTTTGATGAATAGAAAGTTATAAAGAACAGCATTTACTTATATATATTTTTATAACATAATTCAAAATATATATATTTTTTAGAACAATACAACAATAGAAGACAAAGTTTCTGTCACTTTTGATCAATTTAATGCATCCTTGCTGAGAAAAAGCATCAAAAAAGTTATTATAAAGATATTATACTATATTATAATTATAATATAATTAGTATAATAATTATACAATAAAGTTACTATAAGTAAGATTACTCATTTATTTTCTTAGAAAAACAGTCTATATTTTCACTCTGTTTAATCAAATTGCTGTCTATTAAAGATATCTTTGTTTCTGTAGATCTAATTTATGCTGCCTTAATCCAAGCAGTATTTTACTGGCACATTTGACTGTATTCAAATTAATTCCGAAGAATTTCCTCCTCAATCAGCAGAAAAAATTCCAGAGATTCCTTCTGTATCTGCTCACAAGAATGCTTTTTCTGGATTTGTGCCATTAAGGAGAAAAGTTGAGTGAGAACAGGGAATAATGTGGAGAAAGTGCATGGAACAGGACTGGGTAATGTCATTTTTTCCCCACATTTTATGCTCTGATTTTAGGAGGAAACATGCAGATTTTCTGTGAAACAGATTTAAACTGAAAAAGTTATTAAATGAATCTGAGCCTACAACATTCTTATTGGTAGCTGAAAACAAACAAACAGTTCATAGTCTCTTCTTTAAAAGTTATGTCTCTGTATAAACACTAAAGCTGGTTTTCACAGCCATCCTAAGATCAGGAAAAGGTGTCCTTGAAAAATTCAAACAAGGGTTGCTTCAGAAATTCATTAAAACAGGTTAAGCTAATGTGCTTTCATTTGATTGATCTCTTTGCAGCTCTTTTTATTGAATGACACCCAGAGAAAACCCCCGCTGGTCAACATGTGAACCATGAGTCTTTATTATTAATTGCCCCATAATTAACAGCACTCACAAATGCACTTTCACTTCTCATCTGTTTCTGTCACATGACTTTTCCACTCATCCACCATGCATTAAATGTATATAATGTTAGCTGAAGTAAGGTCTATGCTAACTTGAATTGTCAAATTTATTATGGAAAAAGTCAGTTGACTGAAACAGATGAATATGCGCGCTAAAAAGGTAATCAATGTACCAACACAATCAAACATAAAAACCATTTGCCTTGTACCATATACAGAGTGCAAACTGTTCGCCTTAAGCAGCTTTCTCACAATAATCTGCTTTCTGGTGTGCACATAAATGTACTTACTGTTAGTGACTCTCGTTTTCTTCCACTTGTTATAAATGTGAAGCCTTGTGTCTCAATGGCAACACCTGTCTTCTGTATGTGCTCCTCCACATACCTGAAAGACAGATTTTATTTTAAACATTTTTATCCTCATATTCATATACAAAGTGTATCCTTGTTTGTAATCATACTTTTTACTAATTTTGTATTTTTTAGAACTATGGTCGAATGCAGTGGTTTGCAGGGGGCCACAAAATGACTTAAAATGATTTAAATTTTAATTCATTTTATGATTTCTAGACCTGAAAAATCATGTAACTTAATGAAATCTTAAAATGCCATGGACATTTTAATAATGAATGTATATTTCATTTCATATTTGGGAAGTCGCAAACATCAAGACAAAAGGAGCTTTATTATCAGTACATGATGCCTTATTGCTTTCCAGCAACAATGCAAAGAGGATAATACTATGGTACTTTGATGCTACTGTTTCATACAGTAAATGTGCATACAAACATGCAATTTGCACCTGAATATTTTTGTATAATTGTATGTTGCTGGCCCTGTAAAGGACATTTCATATTGTATAATTGTGGATTTACATATGAAGAGTTTATTTGCAAAAACAGATAACTCCGTGTTTTGACATTTTCAAAAATCATGTTTTTTATTATGTAATCATGTTTTTATTGTGCTAGTTAGCTGTCATGTTTAGTTATTTTTTAACCTAATCGAAAATAACCCAACTGCAGTTTGATTGAGATTAACGACTGAGGTGCCCTTGAGCAAGGCACCGAACCCCCAACTGCTCCCCGGGCACCGCAGCATAAATGGCTGCCCACTGCTCCGTGTGTGTGTTCACTGCTGTGTGTGTGCACTTTGGATGGGTTAAATGCAGAGCACCAATTCCAAGTATGGGTCACCATACTTGGCCACATGTCACGTCACTTTCACTTTTTCACTATATATTTTTTTTTGTTATGTCAATCTCTAAAATATTTTATCAGGTAGAAATTGTGAGTAAAACATTTTTTTTTTTAAATCCTTGTCCTTATTCATAATCCTTCAAATTCATAATCACAAAAGGGGGCCTTGGAGTCAAAAAGGATAAGAGGATAAGATGTTGGTACAGAACAACAAAATCAGGAAAAGAAAACATCATTCTCATTATTCTCATCAGTCTGTATAATCTTTATCTCCAGATCTGATTCTATGAAATCAGTTAGGGATGCAAGGTGTTTTTGATGTGAGAGGTGTGATTACCAGTTAATAAAAGAGCTTTTTCCAGCAGAATGGTTTCCCATAATCATAACTATAATCTTTTTCCGTGGCGGAAACAGCCTCACTCCCAAACTCTCTGCAATTTTCACCAATCCTGTCAAAAACATCAAGACAAAAGGAGCTTTATTATCAGTACATGATGCCTTATTGCTTTCCAGCAACAATTCAAAGAGGATAATACTATGGTACTTTGATGCTACTGTTTTATACAGTAAATGTGCATACAAACATGCAATTTGCACCTGAATATTTTTGTATAATTGTATGTTGCTGGCCCTGTAAAGGACATTTCATATTGTATAATTGTGGATTTACATATGAAGAGTTTATTTGCAAAAACAGATAACTCCGTGTTTTGACATTTTCAAAAATCATGTTTTTTATTATGTAATCATGTTTTTATTGTGCTAGTTAGCTGTCATGTTTAGTTATTTTTTAACCTAATCGAAAATAACCCAACTGCAGTTTGATTGAGATTAACTGGAATGCACAATGAAAAAACATGATTTTTGAGAATTGTTAAAAATGGAGTTATCTGCTTTTGCAAATGAACTCTTCATATACTGTACTATACCTGCTGTATATATTCTGTACTGACCCATAGACTACAGTAGGGTGACATGCAGAGACAACTGGTCAACATAACCGTGTCTCAAATCACTGTGAGCTGCCTACATAGTAATGTTGCCATATCATATGAAGTCTAAAACTGTCTAGGTCAGTGTTTCTCAACCAGGGATCCGTGGACCCCTAGTGGTCCTTGACGTAAGGCCAGGGGGTCCGTATAAAGTATGAATTTTTGTATAAATGTTGTATATTTTGACATGACATGTTCCCATTAAAGAAAAATCCAATATAGCTGATGATATGACCAAATACTGGACAAGTCAACTAACTTGAATTATACTTGACTGCATTTGGTCCTCACAAAGACACAAATGATACATAGATGAGTC